CCTGGACTTCAGATTGATGTACCTGTACCATGGCTCTAACTGAATAAGCTACCCGGTCAACAGAAAGATTCAAACCCTGGACTTCAGATTGATGTACCTGTACCATGGCTCTAACTGAATAAGCTACCTGGTCAACAGAGGTGCTTGGGCCAAACTGAGCTACAGTTATATTTAAATAGAAATTAAGGGGAGGTTATACTGTATTTAGGAAAAACCACAATACACTGGGACAGGGATCTTTAAGTGATATCATTGAACACCTACCGGAGATCTACTTTGACGACCCTCCATTCACCTTTCAATTTTCTACAGATCTGGTTAGCCAGTGTTGTTTTACCTAAGCCTCCCATTCCACGGATGCACACACCTGGAAAAAAAATAATATTTATCATGTCTACTGCATAAGAATGTCACTAAAAATTTACTTTCAAATTATTACCACGACTCATCAGCTTAAACAAGAATTTCAAAGGAGTGGAAGTGTCGCCTGGACAGGCAACTCTAATGAGATTATGAAGACAGGATCTATTTTTCTCCCACACCTGACAGATTTATCTCCCGTTTTGCCGGTGCTAGATTTATCTGTCTCCACCCTAGGGTTGAGACGGGGGGATTCCCCTATTCATAACAATGGCATGACGTCACTTCAACAATACAATGACGTCACGTCAACAATCCATCAACAAATTGCCTGTATGTGTTTTGGGTCCATGTTTACCTTTATTTCACATTAAAATACTGTTAGACATGGGAGAAAAATAATCAATCGCTACTGGTTGTGTAAGATAGAGAAATCTCAACCCTCAGACTAAGATTTTTTGTCCAGAACCCGGCAAGCCTCGTTCTGGACAAAAAATCTTAGCCCGCGGGTTGAGATTTCTTTATCTTACACAACCAGTAGCGATAGATTCTATTAATATTAATGGTGACTTCGATCAACCCCAGGGATGTAGAGTTATCGCATGGAAACCTTGTTTCAGGCGACACAACCAACATGGATGCAGATGTTGACAAAGTAATACCTATATGAGAAAAGTGCTTCGGTTTGAAGTTTTGAGTTTGATCGGCCCAAGGAAACTGGACTTATTGCATAGAAACAGTTTTTTTATTTATAGTAACTAGTGACCTTGACCTTTGGTTAGAGGTCAACATGCACACCTGTCAAGATTACAGGTTTGAGGTCCACATGTACACCTGTCAAGATTACAGGTTTGAGGTCCACATGTACACCTGACCAGAAAACAGGTTTGAGGTCCACATGTACACCTGTCAAGATTACAGGTTTGAGGTCAACATGTACACCTGTCAAGATTACAGGTTAGAGGTCCACATGTACACCTGACCAGAAAACAGGTTTGAGGTCCACATGTACACCTGTCAAGATTACAGGTTAGAGGTCCACATGTACACCTGAGCAGAAAACAGGTTTGAGGTCCACCATGCAAACCTCTCCAGATTACAGGTGAATGGTCCACATGCACACATACACACCTGCAGAGAATAAATGTGATTGGCTCACACATACACACATGTTAACAGTACAGGTAATTGTAGCTCACATACATTACTGTACAGAATAAAGTTTAGATGTTCACAAATAAACATTACAGTCATTGTCTGCTGGATAACCAAACTTCTCAAAGAGAATTTTAAACCACTTAACAAACAAACAAACATACACATCTGAATGCATTACAGGTGAGTGCATGGTGCACACATCCACACCTGTATGTATTACAGGTAAAAGGTGCACACATCCACACCTGTATGTATTACAGGTGAGTGGTGCACACATCCACATCTGCATGTATTACAGGTAAGAGGTGCACACATCCACACCTGTATGTATTACAGGTGAGTGGTGTACACATCCACATCTGTATGTATTACAGGTAAGAGGTGCACACATCCACACCTGTATGTATTACAGGTGAGTGGGGTACACATCCACATCTGTATGTATTACAGGTAAGAGGGGCACACATCCACACCTGTATGTATATTACAGGGAAGAGGTGCACACATCCACACCTGTATGTATTAAAGGTAAAAGGTGCACACATCCACACCTGTATGTATTACATGTAAGAGGTGCACACATCCACACCTGTATGTACTACAGGTAAGAGGTGCACACATCCACACCTGAATGTATTACAGGTAAGAGGTGCACACATCCACACCTGTATGTATTAAAGGTAAGAGGTGCACACATTACAACTATACAGAAAAGAAGACCCATGGACCTTAATAGTCAACTGAGTTAAAATTTAATTGTTACTTGTTAATGTGATGTAACAAAGATAACCGAAAACAACTTTCTGAATTGGCTTTTACAAAATGATATTGAGCGTCTGTCTAGAGTTCAGAGAGTCCCCGGTTCAAACTTTGGCCTGGCTGTGCATTTTTCCATCTCCTGTTACAGTAGTGCCTGTGCCCAGGGTGGGGAATGGGCAACCTGGGAGTAATGAAAGTCACAACTGTGATAAAGCACCTTTGGACCTTTCCATTCAGGAAGAGGATTTGATTCTAGCATATCAGAGTATGATGAAGAAGATTGTTGGAGTTTCAGTCAATTTGAATACTTTTGGCGTTCACGTGAAGGCCCTGGGAGTTTCATCTTGAGTATAGACTCTGATTCCCACCATGGGCTTATAATTACAAACAGGTTTCATCAAAATCTGACAGACTGTTTCTGAGGAGATGATGAACATAATTGATTGTTTCAGGTTTTGCAATAAGTGACACCCTATGAGCCTCCCTGGGTAAGTCAGCTCCTTTTTGAGTAAATTCTGAACCTCGTCATCAAAGCATAGCGGAAAAGTGGTGAAAATCCACCTGTATGTTTCATAGAGGAAGTCTTTTGAAAGTTTTGCACTTTGTGACTCCTTATGGCCCCACATCTCAGCCCCCTGGGTGAACATGCAGCCTCATCTTTAGTCTATATTGTGATCCCCATCTTGAGCTTATGATTACCAATTAGACTCCTCCAGATCGGACAGGTGGACGGACGACACAAGATGAAAGGCAATTGCTCAGGTGACCTAATAAAGGAGAGTGGTTCACACATACACACCTGTACAGAATACAGGTGAGCAAGACACAGATACACACTAGTATAGAATACATATGAGTAGCCCACACCTACACACCTGTACAGGTGAGTGAGACACACATATATACCAGTAGAAAATACAAGCAATTATAAGTGATACATACTTAGGCAGATTACAGGTGTTGTGTTTGTACCATCTCACATACCTTTGTACTTATTTCTGTCATCCTCAAACATCTTCACAATGTCGTCAATGTACTTTTCCCTACCAACAAAGTTCTTGTTCTCCTCTTCATCTTCCATCTCAGCCCTCTGGCATTCCTCCAGTTTTTCCCTGTACCCCCTGAGGACCTTGTCCTGGCACACTGTCCCCATATCTGTGTGTACATTTAGCTGCTCCATGACTGTGATCAGAAAATCCAACATGTTCAGCTTTGTCAGTTTACCCTCCAGCCTATCAAAATACTCCTGTCCATTCTGTGGAGGGAGATTTCCTCCATGTGTATGCATGTATGTCTCTGAACATTCAAGGACCTGGTCAAATACAAGAGGGCTGGTGTCAAATTCTTCTATAAGGTCGTGTCTTATTATGTCCCAGCTCTGAACCTTAGTCCTCCCCAAAGCCGCCATATTTATTTTTTTCTTTCCTTTTTCACTTCGTCCTAGATTAGCATCTGCAGCCTAGTCATTAAAATGTTTCTTGTTCTGTCCCCTTTTATCCACCTGAAGTTAAAACAAAAAATAGAATCAAAACCTAGCCACAAAGAAAATACAGTGTAATTAAGAATTCACTGTGTTTATGTGGTATGTAAGTAATTAACATGTCACAGGGTTTATATGGTCTGTATGTAATTAACATGTTACTGGGTTTATATGGTCTTTATGAAATTAACATGTCACTGGGTTTATATGGTCTGTATGTAATTAACATGTCACTGGGTTTATATGGTCTGTATGTAATTAACATGCCACTGGGATTATATGGTCTGTATGTAATAAACATGTCACTGGGTTTATATGGCCTGTATGTAATTAACATGTCACTGGGTTTATATGGTCTGTATGTAATAAACATGTCACTGGGTTTATATGGCCTGTATGTAATTAACATGTCACTGGGTTTATATGGTCTGTATGTAATAAAAATGTCACTGGGTTTATATGGCCTGTATGTCATTAACATGTCGCTGGGTTTATATGGTCTGTATGTAATTAACATGTCACTGGGTTTATATGGTTTGTATCTATAATTTGCATTATGACATGCTTATGGTTTATACATACATGTATATTATATGTAACCTGGTTTATATGGTCAGTTTATTATTTTTATATATAACATGTTCCTGGTTAATATGATCTGTATGTAACTTATATACCTGACCTGGTTTTATGTGTTTTTTATGCAATTAGTGTTTAAAATAATACAGTGTTTGTGTATATCTTTTAATGTTAAAGGTAGGTTTCTACGTCTCTGATTCTAAGAGCATGACGTAATATCAAATATGTTGTCTATAGCAACATGTTACTGGGTTCGTCTTTATTTATTATTCATATATATATACGTACCTTCTGGCGTTTTTACTCCAAACATGCCTTACGACTAGTTTTAGCTAGGCCCACTGAAGTAAAATATTACTTTGTTTAACGCAGTAACGATCAATATACATGCAGAGTCACGGGCGTCACCCACGATTGAGATACTTGATCATTGGCCCATTCGAATTCTGTATCGAATGCACCTCAATTATTTAAAAAGGCCACACATATATATATAGACATATGCATACTGTAGCGAACAATTTTGCGCATGGATGATGCCACGTGATTATACTCTGTCCTATAATTTACTTTTTAATAGACAATTCCAAACGACGCAATAGGCAGACTAGGGCCTTATTGGCTCCACATTACTGATCTTCGATCCGGACGCTGCATGTCACCAGCGCTCCAGCACCATGTCTGCAGACCTTGTAAGTACCAGTACTTTATATACGGTATAGTAGGACAAAGTCATTGATGTTTATTTTAAAATGTTTTCTGCTAATTGCACAATTACATTAGTATAAACATAGAAGTAGATATTAGAGTCATTTCATGTTGTAACATGCACGTGTGCACAGCTGAATAAACTACAGTACATAAATGATACCGATTGGTAGCATCAGAGACGTATAATACATGTTATATACTTCTGGTAGCATTGATAAAACTGACAGTTCTACCAAGTATAAAACAAGATTAAGCAAGTCAAGAATCTGCAGATCTACAACTACGCAAAGGGACAGAACAGGTTGGGCACAAAGGCGCATATGGGCAATAATCCTGCATTTGGGTAACATCTTTGTATGTTATGGTTGAATGCACTTCGAATTTACTTTCACTTTCCTATATAAAAAATCAAAATTTTGTACTTCACTTACGTTATTGAAAATCGCCATATCTATTGGTTATTACAAACAACTTTTGGTTGAACAGTTTTCGGTTTTGAAAGTATTTCACGACCTTTGAAGCCTTAGAAAAGTCGGGACATCTAAAATCACGAAAATGTCAAAACACGAAAAAACGTTCAACCAAAAATTGTTTATAATAACCATATTAATAGCGATTTTAAATAAAGATAGTGAAGTACAAAATTTTGATTTTTTTTATATAGGATAGTGAAAGTAGATTCGAAGTGCATTCAACCATAACATACAAAGATGTTACCCAAATGCAGGATTATTACCCATATGCGCCGTTGTGCCCAACCTGCAGAATACTTCGGTTCCCATCAGAGACGTATATAACGTCGCTGGTCCCATCAAAAGACTCTTTCACACTTACGTAAACATATCTTGCTCCAGAAAACTGTCTGTTAAAATAACATAAATCTGGTGTTTGTGCTAAATACTTAAACACATGCACACATCACTGTGTGGTATACTATACTTACTGATACAGACACATCAGTGTGTGGTATACAGTACTTACTGATACACAGACATCACTGTGTGGTATCACTGTGGTATACAGTACTTACTGATACACAGACAATACTGCGTGGTATACTATACTTACTGATACAGACACATCAGTGTGTGGTATACAGTACTTACTGATACACAGACAATACTGTGTGGTATACAGTACTTACTGATCCGAGGACATCACTGTGTGGTATCACTGTGGTATACAGTACTTACTGATACACAGACAATACTGTGTGGTATACAGTACTTACTGATACACTTACATTGCTGTGTGGTATACAGTACTTACTGATACACCTACATCGCTGTGTGGTATACAGTACTTACTGATACACCTACATCGCTGTGTGGTATACAGTACTTACTGATACACAGACAATACTGTGTGGTATACAGTACTTACTGATACACAGACATCACTGTGTGGTAAACAGTACTTAGTGGTACACAGACATCACTGTGTGGTATACAGTACTTAGTGGTACACAGACATCACTGTGGTATACAGTACTTAGTGGTACACATACATCACTGTGGTAAACAGTACTTAGTGGTACACATACATCACTGTGGTAAACAGTACTTAGTGGTACACAGACATCACTGTGTGGTATACAGTACTTAGTGGTACACAGACATCACTGTGGTAAACAGTACTTAGTGGTACACA